CTATTTTTTTCGCTAATAGAGCACGGATGAAAAAATTTAATAGAAAAACCTATCGAATTCGTTAGAAAATTCTATTGAATTTCTATTGAACTGTTCTATTAGTTGTTGGCCGATTCTATTAAAATGTTCAATAGAAAATATTCAGTAGAAAAAGTCAATAGAATTCAGTTTTTCTGTACAACTTATGCTATTGAGATATTTTCTATAGAATTTCCTCGTCTCAAATTTTTTCGTTTGATTTTCTTGGTGAGAAGAAAAAAAAATAGAATGAAAAAAAAATCAGAAAATTTGAGTCGAGCAAATTCTATAGAAAATATATGAAAAGAATAAGTTATATAGAAAAATCTAATTCTGTTCACTTTTTCTATTGGATGTTTTCTATTGAACATGTTAATAGAATCCGCCAAAAACTAATAGCAAGTTTAATAGAAATTTAATAGAATTTTATATCGAATTCGATAGGTTTTTCTATTAACTTTTTTCGTGCGTGACAAGGAAAACAAATTTTCTTAATTTCACGTTACATTCGTTTATTTACGATCTACTATAATCTTTACTGCTGGGTCATTCATCTGCTATAAAGATATGCATATACATAAATCAAAGAATACAAAAAATGAGCTTCATTACGTCACAATAACTTGTTTGATCTACTTCACCCAAATAATAAATAATTGTCGAGTAAATAATTTTTGCTTTGGCCATGATGAAATGATCAAGAGTTTTTTTTTGTTTCTTCTGGCTCCTGGATTGTAACCAGAGGTCAAAGGTCCCTGGAGTTGGAACACACGTACGTTTAAGGCTGGGCCGGGGTCGTCGTAACGGCGCGTCTCGCGACGTAGGTGGCACGTAGGTGTTGGAGAGATTCGAGGGGGAGAAAGGCAATGGGCAGAAATCGAGGCACAGCGCGTGCTGCAAACTCGCGGGAGCGGTTACGATTCTTCTCGACGGTGAGAAAACACGCACACATTGAACAATGGGGCGACTCGGGCTCGTGCCCAAGTACCAGCTGCTTTGCGAATTACGTTTAATTAAGAGGAGACGGATCTCCTTAGATTCATCACTCCCAGTATTTTATCTCGATTTGTTTTTATTGGCTCTTTGCTTTTGGGTAATGATTACGTTCGAGGAAATCTACTTCGGATTTGTTTGGGCGGAGTATTTTTGGTGGAAGTACAAACGCAAATTGATGCAGAAACTTAATTGTCAATTTGGTAACGAAATTGAGGAGTCCTACGAGTCAAACTGTTTAAATCATCTTGCTGCATATTGAATCGTCTTGACAATAAGTGATAATAGCAGGAAATAATGTCCGAAATCTTCTTTGTTGGAAACTCATTTCTTATGAAATCGTTTGCTTCGGATGTGAATGTCTCATTGTCAAAAAAAGTGTTGACTCATTATATTTAGTACCGTTGCACTACTCAATTTATGGTTGACAAATGTTTCTAACATGTACTGACTTAATATGAACTTAACTAATGACGTTCTGTAATTGAAAAATTTGCAATTCGCTTCATGTGTCCCTTTAAGGGACGCATCTATAACTTCCCGATGTGAGTTGGAATTTGAAATTGGAAATTCGGAAATTTTTTATGAAACATTTCAGTTCTTTGAAATTCCAATTTCCCGAATTTCAATTTTGACACTTCTTTTTTGAAAAACTCAAAAAGGGGCGACGGGTTTTCTCTCCCAACCCAATTCAGTCTTACGTAAGTGAATGCTTATCGATCGCGACCAACATCATTTCGACCGCACTACGTTCGCCCGGGAGCGTTAACAATAAAAAGTGGCTACATACATGGATACATTTTTCGAAAAACCATATGGGGAGCTTCTACTCGTCATGAAGCGTCAACATTTCATGAAATTACGATTTTTCATTTCCGGGGTGAAACCAATAACTTCGTATCGGGAGGTTAAAAATGTTACGTTTGATTTAATTAATTAAAGAGATGCAAGGAATTTATAACTGGAATAATTAATCGCTCTGATTAAAAGAAGAAATGATAAAAAAAAAGAGATGGATACTCGATACTTCCTGCTCCAGTTGATCCGTTACATAAATAAACTGATATTATCGAATTAGTAGGATAGTGAGGAATTATCAAGCGGCAATGAGAAAAAAACACTTGACATCCGGTCTTACATGATTCGCGTGAACCACACAATTAGTATTTCCGCACTCTGCATGGATCTGGCCGGTTTTTATTTTTACATCTTCAACTTGCTTCCTTCTTTGAGAGTAAACTGACGTCATTAACGGATGCAAAACCGAGATAGGTTTTAATAGAGTGAGCTAATTGTGGCAGTGGCGATTAAGAGGAAGTTTAGTGGTTTGTTACTTCCATTTGAACTCTTTATTAAGGATATTATGTCGGGATAGCAAAAATATCTCTTTATGTTATAAAAATCCATATCGACTTCTGGTAATCAAAATTTGATACTCGAAATTAAGACTCCACAATTAAGGGTCACAACGGTTAAAATAAGGGTCACGAGGGGCAAAATACACAAGGGTCAGAATAAGGGTCACTAGAGTCAGAATAATGGCCGCGAGGGTCAGAATAAGGATGATGGGGGTCATATAGGAGTGGCGAATGGAGGGCGTAGGGGGCGTAGCCCACTAATAAAATTCTGAAAACGATCAGGCTTGATATTTTTGAAATGATTGATAAAAACTGTTTACGGAATAATTCAATAGATATTTCCTGAATTAAGATGGGCTCTTATGGGAAAATGCCATTTTTCACAAAAAAACGGAGAAGAGCTTGAAACATTGCAAACCACTATTTTTCGATCTTATAGGAAAATGTTTCTAATTTAAAAAACGTTATGTAGAATTTCTGTCAAATAATCACGTATAAATTTTCGCACCAAGAGAAATGTTCAGTAAAACTTACGGAACTCACAATTCGCTCACCGATTACGGAATCGACTCAGAAAATTTAAGTGGCGACATCGTAATTTTTCACAGGAAATTCAGATACAAATTACGCAACGCTCTGGAAAAATTCCGTGGCAGTTCCGTAAAATTTCCTACAACTACATTTCGCTCCGGAAGTACGGAAAAGATACTAAATTTTTATTGAATATTTCTCTCCGTGCATTAATTGCCGCCCACGAATTCGAGGTATCAGAGTTCAAGTCTCCTTCTACAGTTTGCTACAATTATATTCTCTAACTGTAGGGTAAACTGACCACTATTCGAACCCGTCGAGCGATCGAATTATATTATATATTGATCGTAAAATAAATGTTTAATGTAGCGGAATAGAACCAATTCAAAGATGGCCTTCAAAACCGGACTTTACCTACCTATTTATCAATTCACGTTCAGCTTTCCCATAATTAAGCAATTACTAACTCTCATGCGTTCGATGACAGTTATTTGACGCATTTCATTCATTCGAACACTGGATAACTTCGATTTTTCCTCAATCAAATGGCATTCTTCAACACCGACAAGGCATTTTTTTGACAAAATGGTCTATTACACACAATGGAAGCGCTTTACTTTTTAACACATGACGGATTCTTCGTCAATCCAACCACCTGTTTTAAAAAATCCGTACTCATTGAAAGCACTCTGTCATTTTTTAAAGATTTTTTTGTCATTCCGGCCGTGAGGCAGCGCTTCACGGACGCTCCGCGTCCGTGAATCTCTGCCTACGGCCGTCATAACAAAAAATACTGTTCGTCATATGGCCAAAAAAAACTTTTCTAGCTCATATGATTGCAGCCCTCGCCTTCGGCTCGGGCTGCAAACTCATATTCGCCAGAAAAGTTTCTTTCGGCCTAGTGACGAAATATACTATTTGAGCATCCGTGGTGCAGGTAAATGGATCTGAAAAAATTTCTGAAAAAAAATAAATATCAGAGAAAGTTGATCGCAGAGAAAAAAAAGTTTAGGACAAAAAATTTAGGTTTTTACCTGAATTTTCCAAATATATTTGTATTCTAGGAAAAAAAACTGATGTAGAGGATTTAAACTCTAAAATTACAAGATTTATGAAAATGGGAAGGGCGTAAGCTTCGGGGAAAGTAAAGTTATCACCAGTAATTTTTGACTTTGTGATAATTTGACATTTTGGTACAATCTTTGATGTCACCCAAAAGCATTTTTAAAAAATTGAAATTTTTCTTGGCAATTGTTCTTGAGAAAAGGAATCACACTGGTGGGAAGAATTTTAAATATTTTTTATAACCTGGCGTGACATCATAGATTAAGCCAAAATGCTAGTATTGATAATAATAATATTCTCCGAAGCTTATGCCAGCTTCATTTCCATTTCCACTGATAAATTTTCCGCGATTTAAAAAAATCAAAACACAACAATGTCCAAATGCGTAAAAATGAAATTTTTTGGACAATTCTAGAGTTTAAGCTCCTACAGCGGCTTTTACCTTTAAAAAAAAAAATATTTGTAAAAATTCAGGTAAAAACCTAAAAAAATTTTTTTTCCAAGATTTTGTTTTGAAATTGAAATTTTTTTTTCTGAATTTCTGAGATTTCTTTGGTTTAAGATATCTTTGACACAACTTTTGAAGAACTCATGGGATAAATAATGGTTGATAAATAGAGAATAAGTGAATGCCCTGATGAAGAACACTTTGTGTTTGAAACGTTGGCAAATAGTGGAAGAAAGGTTCCTTTCTCTTACGATTCTTTCCTTTTTTAATTCTATAATTAAAATTGCTGTTATGATCGTTAATGGCTGAGGAAGTTGGAGGTTTTTGAAGTAGTATTTAATATGTAATATCGTATAAACAGAATGTGAGGATTACAATTTTTGTTGACAAGGTCTTAATGAAAAGCATCAAATATGTAAAAAAATCAATAGACTTGATCATGTGTAATAGGATCATGTGTAATGTGTAAGGAATTTCAATTGTTGAAACAAAAATCAAAATTTGTAGTTGATTTAACACGTTCCACGACATCTCTAGTAAAAAATGTGAACTATTCATCGACTCCGACGATAAAAATGTCATGAATTTCGCGTCTCTTCTGCCCCACCACAAATCCGGAAGTATGCAGAACGTATCGCGCAGGTGACAACTCTCAACAAAATAAATTCCAATTCAAATTTTTTTTCGCAAATTTGATTATTTGCAATTGTAAAAAATCGAACACTGCAATATATCTAAATGATACAATAATGATAAAATACGAAGATTAACTAATAATGTTGAGTTTAGGACACAGTGATGCCAGGTTTAGAGGGAAGCATTTGGTACGAAACAAGTTCATCCGCGCACAGCCTAATGTCCGATGGAGTCGCCGCCGAGCAAGTGAAAAAATTTTTTTTCACGTCTCGACGATCACACGAGCCCGGACAACACGACGAGTCGCTTGAGATTTACATACCAGAGGTGAGTTACATCATTCATGGTGATGAAAATATGGTATGGGGGCTTGAATTTAAGGAAAATACGGATGCTACCGGTGTTACGCCAATTTTTTGGTTAGATTTGAGCACGTTTGTGAGTTTGAGAATATATCGTAAAAGTTTTTATCATTCGTTGGATGATTTTGCGGCTAAATAATGAGCGCGAGTCTTTTCTACTCGATTTACAATGAAGAAAAGTGAAGGAAATCAATAAAATGACGATGTAACGCGTCTTATTCATCCATTGTTACGTCTTTCATGAATTAAATTAATTGTTGCGTTTGTTTTGCAGTTGCTTCAAGCCAGTTACAGCTATTACACGTGGCCCTCAGCACCAGTGCTAGCCTGGTACCTCTGGGAGCACCGAGAGGAGCTCCTAAGCAAACGAGTACTGGAGTTGGGCTCGGGCACAGCCCTCCCAGGGATTGTAGCCAGCAAGTGTGGTGCTCACGTGATTCTCAGTGACTCTGCAAGCTTCCCAAAGAGCCTTCAACACATTAAAAGAAGCTGCGAGCTCAACGGTGTGCTCTCCCAAGTGAAAGTAATAGGCATAACCTGGGGTTTATTTCTCTCCAGTCTCTTTTCCATCGGACCTCTGGACCTAATTCTCGGCTCAGATTGCTTCTACGAGCCCTCAGTCTTCGAGGACATTGTCGTAACTGTTGCATTTCTTCTCGAAAAAAATCCAAACGCAAAATTCCTCTGCACTTATCAAGAGCGCAGTGCCGACTGGTCGATAGAACATTTATTGAACAAGTGGGGCTTGTCCTGCACACACATACCTTTAGCAGGACTAGGCGCTGATTCAGGTGTGACTCTTGCTGAGTTAATGCAAGATCACACGATCCATCTACTGGATATAAGACGTAAAAGTTGAAGAATCCTTTGATACAAAAAATAGGATGGCCGCTAATGTTGGAAGAGCCCTGAACAAATTACGTGTCGTCAACATTCCGTGGACAGTTGGTGACCAACAGCTGAAAGAATACTTTTCCCAATTTGGCCCCATAGCCAAAGCCAAAGTTGTCTTTGACAAGAGAACAGGAATGAGCAAAAACTTTGGGTTCTTGGAGATTGCTGATAAAGAGACATACCACTCTATCCTCAGTAAACCGAATCACCATCTTGAGGGATATGATCTGTACGTTAAGCATTACTGGGAGTCAAATCAATAATCATTGACATCATTTATGGTTGTGTGATCAATGATGGCAGAAAAGGAGAGTGTATCGGATTTAGAGGATAGGTTTAACAGAGCTGCCAATCATATACAGAGTTTAGCGGCAAGTTTGGATTCGGGACAATTGCTGGCGTTTTACGGACTTTATAAGCAGGCAACTGTAGGGGCCTGTGATACACCTAAACCGAGTTGGTACCAGGCACAGGCGAAGCAGAAGTGGGAGGCATGGAGGAGTCTCGGTGATATAGGGAAAGAGGAGGCGATGGAGAAGTACGTTTCAGCTTTGACGAAATTGGATCAGAATTGGGAGCAGGAGTCCAAGATTGGGGGGAGAGCATGGGTCGCTGTTAGCTCTATGGTGAATACCGATGATGTTCTAAGTGATGGGGACAAAACTCTGCTCGATTGGGTGAAGGAGGGCAACGAGGACAGGGTCAGAGAATTACTGCTGCGTGATTCGTCGATTGTCAATTCTCCAGACAAGGACAACATGTTGCCGATCCATTGGGCAGCCGATCGAGGCCACATACCCACTATCAAGTGTTTGGTTGAAAAAGGGGCTGACATTAATGCACAAGATAATGATGGACAAACAGCCCTTCATTATGCTGCTTCCTGTGGACATGCTGATGTCGTTGAGTATCTGCTGTCCATCGGGGCTAAGTCACTTAAGGATCATGATGGACTCACACCTAAACAAGTTGCCGATGACAGACTTGCAGCTATACTCTGACCTCATTCATTAGTTTAATCCTGAATGTCAATCAACATTCTGTTATCTTTAACATGGATTATTGAATAATGTTGGAAATATATGATTGGAAAATGTGGTTCGAGTTTTTTCTTTGATAACACGATTTCATTTTTTACTTTTGTTTTTTTATTTCATTTATAAACAAATAAATCCTTTAATACTCCAATATACTCACAGCCTAAGGTCTCCTTAGGTAAATGCGTGCTCCGATGAAAATTTCTTAGTCCACGGACGATTTCGAATTGACCACGATTGTCTTTTTTAAAGTTTTCTCTTTTGTAATAAATCTTCAATAAACTAATAACTCTTAATTTAAAAAATATTTTTCCATGTTGCCCAATTATCATTACTAAAATTTCACTCAATTCGCCGAGTAGGTGAATTATTAAAGAAAACATCAAATAGTCACGTAAAATAACGAGATTAGTTTAAACATGTAAGGGGGCAGAGTTGGGCATCCGTCGATAAACGCAGTTTTTTACATGACATTGTAAAAAAAACCCGTAATTTACGTAATAAATGAAAAAAATCTTAAAAACTAGCCGGAGTTACCTGTTATCGTAAATCGTGAAGCTACGCGAGGATTATTCCTCGCGAGGGAGATAAAAGTCAGGAGGTTCATACATCTCGAGGGTCAAACTCATTATTTATTGATTTCTATTTAATTCGCCGCGTCATCATCTTTTGTCTTGACATTGACTTGTTTCATTCAGCATTCGTGAATGACAAAGCTAATTCAATTGTCTTTGGTCGTTTTTTTGAACTCTTCAGAACAAAATGATTTTTGTTCAGGTCCAACTGGGCTTTTCCCGGGCTCCAAGTAATAAAGTGGGGAATCCAATAAAGCTCAATAAATAATGAGATTGACTTTCTCACAATGGAGATGACTTGTGGCTGTGGTCTTTTGCAACATTGGGTGCTCGTGAAATTTACTCTTTGTGAGGTATGAGGCTCATGTTTTTGAGTATCTTGAAATGCCGTAAATCATATCACGTGATGTAATAGTATTTTATGCCCCAAATACTGAGATCCGCGTTCTAACCGAATAAAGTGTAGTTAAAATTTGCAGTTTATCTGTCCTCGGGACATAATATACTATTTTTTATAATATTTATATGTGCAATACTGCGTCTTCGTCAGTCGAAATAACATAAAACATTCTAGTAACCGAAATTTGCAAGCTTTTCGAAGCAATGTAAAACATGGAAAAAACCGGTCGAGGTAATTTACGTAAATTACGTCGGTAAAAAACTGTGTAATTTACCAACGTAATTTACACGCCCAACCCTGAGAGGGGGTAAAAACTCTAAGCAATGCCAACGAAATATAATCAATAAGTGAAGAAAAAAAGAGTATTTCATAAAGTTAATTTTCCTGAATCAATATAACTAGCTGCTTGTTTCCACTCTCTGTATCATTATGAGAGAAGAAAAATCATGATGAATGTCATTCGATCTATCGTCGTTTTTTTTTAAATCACAGTCGACTCACCAGTAAGCAATAAATCATCAAAATTAAAAATAATCAACTCGGAAAATTCACATTTTTCCTACTCGGCTGAATAAAAAACAGCTCGACACAACTCGAGATTTGTGCGTTGAAGTCCATACTGCTTATTATATGCTTGAGAGATTAGGAGCACTTACAAGTGATTTTCTCGTCTTAAAAGCATTGAATGAGTTTCTCAAACTTCTGTTTCAGAAAATATGTATAAAAATCGCTATTTCAGAGGTAAAAATGTCTCAGCAAGCATTTTCGGACATCAATGACTTAAAATTCCTGATTCAGTGAGGAAGCCATAGACAATATAGAGATAAATTTCATGAAAATGTTACAGCCCTGTTGGAAGTTGAGAAATTAATAATTTTAGAGTTTAATTCTGCAGAGAACTGATGAAAAATTGGAGAAACTCTGAAAATTTACAGGCAAAAGCTAATGTCTTTTGATATTTTTCTCCTTTTAAAATTATTTACATATATAGTTTACATGAATTTCAATTTCTTCTTATGTGTCATGTTTTGTGTCAGGGAGTTTTTCCTCTAAAATAATCCTGTAACTTTCCAAGAAATTTTCTCTTCATTAAATGTCGAACATCATTTAAACCCGTCACTCAAAATCAAAAGTTGAAAAAATCGATATGGTTTTCAAACTCTACCTATCTACTCTATAAATTAGTACTTTCGTGATCGGATTTAGGTCGATTTGTTGGCGGCGGTGGTGGTGGTGGTTGAGGCCGTGGTGGTCGCTGATGAAACCTCGGTGATTTTTCACCAGTTTGAATTTGCTGGGGTGACTTAGGAACAATGACAGTCTGAGTTTGTGTCTGGACATCGATGATGTTTCCCTCTGACCTAGTTCTGGCATGGGACTTGTTTTGCTCGGGCATATCAGGCCTGGGTGGTTTCTCTGGACGCTCACCACTCAGGGACATTGAGGTTGGACGACTCCCCACACTTGGACTTCTCTGCAAGTTGGAAGCGCTGTTTCCATTGCTCTCGAACGTAGGTTTCGTGGAGTAATTTCCACGCACTTGTATTATACTGACCTGCTGTTTATCCACTGAGTACACGTGTGCTCTCTCCAGTGTTAAGGGCTATAAAACAAATTAATCGACCATTCAAGACCACATTCCGTCGCTAAAATCCAATTGGAGAATCTAATAATGTCACACTTAGGCTAGGGTGCATCGTCCAGTGTTCGAACCAGTTTTGACGTATTTATTGTGGAATATTATATTATTAATAATTGCATAATAATCTTTGTACACGTGATGTTCTTCCATTTCCTAACTTTGGATGAAAATGCCTAGGAATGTCATGAAATATGAAGAAACTATGTTTTTTAAAAATGTCCGTATGTATGTATGTGGATGTATCTATCTACAAATATGTTGATAATTCCAGAATAGTTATTGCAAAGAAACTAAAATTCTGGCTCTTAGTTGGTACTATTGACACTCAAATTTGTGCTAAATTTGAGCTCCATCACTTTTTTTGCAAATATATGCGGAGTCATTCGACCAATTTGATTTCATTTTTACATATTGGCCACGATGATACTTATTCAATTAAATCGAAAAAAGGCCACTCCACCAAGGACAATGTAATTTTATTATCATTTTTTCGCTGAACTTGATTGTTGTATTCTGCAGAACGTCATCTTAATTTTCTCATGAAAATCCAAGTTGTTATTAAAACATATTGGGTTGAAAACTGAACGAACCACCTTTCTCTTTCAATAAAAAAACAAATCATGATATTAGAAATTTCTCATCAGAGAAATCAATTTTAATGAGACAAATACATAATCCACAGATAAATACAAAAATAGATACAGTAAAAAAAGCTACTTTCATGCTGGATCGTAAAATAGGAAAATAAGACACACAGGGATGTATTTATGGTGTTGAACTTACTCCAACGTCGACGTCTAGATTTTCATTGCTCTGGCGTATGTGAGGCCTGATAAGACTGGAAGGTCTAGCGAGTCCTGCAGGTCGTTCTGGAATCGCCGGTTTGCTGTTTCTCTCCACAGGGGCTGGATCACTTTTTTTTCTTAATTCGACTGTGTCATCTGAATCGTGAAAAAAAAGATAAAAAGAAAACGTTAGAAAACCTAGCAAATTCGATAGAACCTTCTATTGTATTTTTATGTTGTGGAGATGTTTTTATCGAATTTTCACTTATTTCTTAGTTCTTGGCTACTGCTTAGAAGTAAATGGTCACTTAAGGATCATGGTCTTAGAAGTAAATGGATAAAAAAATTATAAACCAGTCCAAACCAATAAGTTGCCGACCGATTCTTTTTTTTCTGTTCGCTACGAAAAATAATAAATCAAATCACATCATTTTGCAGGAAGGAATCGTCTCATTTATGAAAAAACGTAACTTCAATATTTTACTGATTCATTAAAAGAATGAGAAAACGCTGAGTCATTGTCTTCATAATGTAATTAGTTCTAAATTTCATGAAGATCCATCGATTGCAAAAAAAATTGAATCGCATCGTTTGTTCGAGAGAAAAAGGATTCCATAGAAAAGTCAATAGAATTCGATTTTTTATACAATGTACTCTATTATATTATATTTTCTATACAATTCACGCGGCTCAAGTTTTCCATGTTTTTTATTTGATTTTCTTGATGAAAAGAAAAAAACATACTAGAATGAAAAAAACTTGCACAAATTTGAGCCGAGGAAAATCAATAGAAAGTTCAATGGAAATCCAATCGAATTGGCTAACGAATTCGTTGGGGTTTTCTATTAATTTTTTTCATGCATAATAAAATGTGGAGAAATCGGGTTAATTTCCACATTCGATTTTCGGAATTAGTACAAAAGCGTCCTCCCTTCGGGTCGGGAAGTTAATAATACTCCTGAGGAGAACCCCGCAGAACTGAAAAATAATTGTTTTTCTATTGAACTTCTGTTGAAAATACTATTAGCTTTTGGCCGATGCTATGAACGAATTCCACAGAAAATGGCCAATAAAAATTGTCGAATAGATAAAATCAGCGGAATTTCACCTTTCCGTGCAACTTTTTCTATTGAGACATTTTCTATATAAAATAGATCAATAGAATAAGTTGTCTAGAACAATCCAATTCTATTGATTTCTTCTATAGAAAATTTTTCATTAAATATTTTTCCTGAAAAATAATTAAAGAACGCGTGGATAAGCTATAGAATTTTCCAGTAGAATCGTCGAAAAACTAATAAAAAGTTTAATAGAAATCCAATAAAATTTTCTAGTGAAGTGGCTAGGTTTTTCTAGAATTTTTTTTGATATGTGGATTCATTTGGAATTGTTCAAACCTGGTATGCCGCAATTCTGATGCGCTGCATTCACCAAGGTAGTCCTCGGAGCTGCAACGGGAACCCTTTTCCTTTCTAAAGTCGAGGGTGATGGTTTTTCGGCTGGTACTGGCTTTGACTTATGCATATCGCCATTCTCCGGGTCAGAAATTCTGAATTGAGCTGTACTGGAGTTGCCCCGCATAGTGATACTTTCGAAACCAATAGGGGCTGTTGAATCCGAATTTTTACGTTTTGTGTCTGATGAATCCGAGTTCTTACGTTTTATCTCCACGTTATTGTCCAACTTTGGTGTCTCGATCTTCTCACTATTCTCAGGGGGGTGAGTGTCATTAGTTATAGCCTCAAAACCCAGGGGTTTTCCTTCCAACTCTGTACTCTTCTCCAGCTTCTCAATTTTTTCAATTTTGTCGCTCTTCTCGGCCTTTGGCTCGTGATGATGAGTCGTAAGTTCAGTATTCACTTCGTGTTTTTGAGCCTTATAGGTGTGACGATTCAATGTTGCTGTTGTTAAGGGTCTTGGAGGCTTGTCAGGGGCTGGAGGAGGCTTATCATCCATTCTCTTTTCGTTCTTGTCTGGAGTAGCATTTGGGGGCGTTGGAGCTGGCTTATTTTTTCGCCTTGTTGCTGGCTTTGGACTACCCTGGGGTGGACTTTCACCGTGGTCACTCAGACTGCTATTTGATATGCATCTTCGCATGCCAATTACCTGGGGCTCATTGCCATTCACAATGCCCACGTCCAAATCGCGATCAAAGTCTATCTCCCCGGAGAAGAACCAGTCCGCGTATGTTATTAATTGATCGACTATTAGACTAGAGTTATTTGCGGTACTCATATTCATTCTGAAAGCAAAAATTACAATTTTGTAGAAATACTGTGATAATTCGATTGTTGGAAATCGTCCAATATTTGAAGAATTTTTCAAGAAGCGAATTTTATATCTGGTAATTTTTTTCATTTTTCTCCTGACAGTAGATATCAATTTCTATCAATATAATATGGCTAAACTGATAAGAGTTCTAATCGACATTCTTAATCTATTTCACGACTCCTTTCCTGTTACGTACTTGAATTTCAAAGAAAATAAAAAATAACTTTCATTAATGTATTTACGGAAAGAGACTCGAATATGCCGCGATTCTTAAAAGAAAAAAGGGTAAAGGATATTTTCTTCAATATTTGGATTGGCAATAATTGCATTTTCATTTGTAAATGTTTTAACGCAAAACATAGAATAATATTATTTTCGTGTCTGAGAAATTCCCCGGAAAACGGAAATCTTAATCCTCTTTGTTCATGGTACTTTCCCCAGGAGAAATATGACAGGAGGTACAGTCTAGAATTTTGGGTTTTTCTCTCCCTCGAAAATAGTCTCACAGCGCATACTCTCATAAAACATACCCTTCGGTCACCGTCCCCTACAATAAAAACGATTTTCTGAAATTTTGATCCCTCACTTTATAACTTAATCCTTTGCAGCCGGGGCAATAAAAACAATTTCTTGAAAATTCTCCTCCCTATAGTTTACGACTCAATCCGTTGCATTCCGAAATTTCTTTCCCTTTCCCTTTCATGGATCATTTAAACCGTTGAAAATTCCCCAAATTACCTGGGAGAGGAGAGAGGCCCCTCTCCAAATGTCAAGGGACACCTCCCTCTCCTCACAATTTTCACCAATTAGTAATGCGCATTTCCCTCTTCTTGAAATTTTTTGAACCTTAAAGACACACTCTTGGAGGGCGAAGGTTGCGTGAGAGAAAAATTACAAATCAGTACCAATTCCAATTTTCAAGGAATAACTTCCAAACTTCTTCCCGCGCATATTCGAGTCCTCTTATTTTCAATCTCGTGATTCAAGTCGTTCTATATTTGTTTTCAATTGCCCGGAGTTATTTTATATTTAATAATTGTAAAACTAGCAATCGAATTCTCGATATTAATTTCCAAACGTATAAATTAATTTTTTACGTGACAAAGTATAAAAAAAGGCTATTCAAAAACTGAAGTGATTTGTATTACTGTGTAAAATAAAAACAAACATTATTTGCCATTAAATTTAAATATTGAGAAATGACTCTGTGTTACCGTGTTGTCGTTATTTAATCAAGTGAAAAAATCATAATTCAATCGAACTAATATTTTAGTCATTTTATTCTTTCAAGTGAAGTTTAATTCAATAGCTCGAAAAGTGCATGTGACAACAAATATAATCACACGCACATTTCCTATTCTCTATTTCGCCATGCTGGACTTAAAAATATTTCCATATTAACTAACTGTAGATTTAATTAAATTAACAAGCACGAATATTTATGGCTGAATAATTTTTACAGTGAAATATTTTTCAAAATACAAGAATGGAAAAATTAAAATCAAATTAAATGGGAAATTAATTCGCGACTTAATCACCTAAACTATAAAATGTAAGAACGGATATAATATGATATAATCTTTAAATTCCCTTCCCACCTCCTAAATTAGCTTTGTAAATGAATTATTTATAAAAATGAAATGAAAGTAAAACAAAAAAAATGAAATCGAATGAATAGTTTTTGAGATATTTTCAACTTTTTGAATACCTCAAAAAAGTTGAATCTTTCCAAAACTACTCATTCGATTTTATCCTTCTGAACTCCTAGCCGTTAATATGGTAAAGGCTAGAACCCTCCCAAATTTCAGGTTTCTATCTCTATTTTTTCGAGAATTATCATGCCCACGCCGATTTTATCACCAAATTGAAAAATGTAAATTACTATATGATTTGATAGATATCATCATAAGGAACATTTTGACGTAAACGAAATTCATTTGATGCAATAGCTTTGGAGATATTGATAAAAAAAAATGAAAAATCGTCGTATGTCAAATATTTTAATTCATGGATGGATTGAGCTGAAATTTAGCAAATAAGTGCCCCTAAACAATACCAATTGTGGGTTAAAATTTCAGATTTTTAGCTATCACTTTAGTCCTTTAGGCCGACACACAGACATTTTCTAAAAACATAATATCTCGACGTTTTATGACATTCTAAGTCGTTTGGAAGTAAAATTAGCGATCAATGGAATTTAATGAATTTTTCCCTGAATATAGACTCCAATAAACTTTATTCATCGATCTCTCATAAATTATCTCGATAGCCCCTTTCATATTCTATCAGAATATGATGAAAATCGCACGATTCGTTTGTAACTTACAACATATTGTTTGTCAGATTTTTTTTCAATTTTTTCGTGATAAATTGGAAAAATTATCAGCAATATCAGTAAAATTATCGCTCAAAAAGTTTACTATTTATCAAGTTGCGTTATTCATGCTTTCGACTAAATCTGCACTTAATCCTAGTTAAACCCGGGTTAAGTCTGGACTATATCCTAACTCCTGACTAAACCTTATTAAAATCTTGATTAAGGTTGGATAAATCTTTGGCTAAACTTTGAACTGACCCACGTTAAAGCTGTGTTCAATGCTAACTAAATTTCGATTAAATTGTAAATAAACTCGCTGCTAGAGGGTGTTCATATTTATGTAAATGTGAAACTTTGTCGATTCTAGTTTCCGAGATATTCACGTTGTTCTCTTGCCAACTCCCATTTAAATCCATGTTAAATTATTTTTTCGATCTTCTTTAGCGTCGTCACTCTTTACGCTATATCAAGTTCATTCTGGGCTCTAACTGTTCAGAATCAGATAAAGATTATGGAAATATACATAACTCCAATAGTGCCAAAGTGGTCCCTTCTCATGCGGACGTCCACATATATAGATGTATATGCGTGGTATTTTTTCCAATTGTTTCCAAAAATTCAATTCAATAAGCTCTATCCATTAACGCCCGTTAAAATATTTGTACTTTTTCTAAAAGCCATTTGTCAACGATCAATCAAAAAATTGGGATCGGAATAAAATTAGTCGTGGCTTAAAAAATTAATATAGATAAACTTTTGATTCTACTAGAATAAGATGAGAATTGTACCATTCGTTATTAGGTTACAGCATGTCGTTTATGACATTTTTTTTTGCTTTAGAATCGTAGCTGTATATTCATTCAAATTCAAGTTTCTAATTTGTTGTCTATATGTATTATGTATTTGTCTATATGTGTGTATGTATGTGGCCTTTTTTAAATTTTTTAAATTTTTTTTAAAAGGAATCTATCTAATTTTATGATTTTTTTCCTGAACATGGACTTTAATGAAGTCGATCCATGGTCACCAATTAAAAATCAATTTCTCATAAAATTTCCAGAATTTTGGTATTAAAAAAAAAAAGATTTTTACCGATCACTTCAAAAATCGTCATTGAAACATTATTAATTAAATAATTAACAAATATACCATGAATAAATTATCGATTATCCTTTATACTTCTAATCAATTCACTTTTTTCCGATGAATAGTTTCATGATTTCAACACCAAGATTCTTTTCTTTAGAATGTTTTCAAAATAATTTCGACCTACACCATGGTATTAACATCTTCCTGAGGGCTCCATATCAAATTGGGTGCAATGACAATGGCGATATTCTGTGGTGACATCTTATTGACGTCACTATTCCTTGTAAGCACTGCCAAAAATTTGATCAAAAACCTCAAATTCTCCAGATTAGCAGGTGGTAATTTATGAAGTACTTCCCACAGTGCTCTCAACCTGACATCACTCTGCGTTATTTTAGCAGCTGCCATCCACTCTGGATATAACCTGATGGAAACAAATTATCCAATCATTTCACGTTATTCAATCAATTATGACATTAAAATGACTGCTGAGTATCCAAATGAGACGAAAAAAATTAATTGTACTATGTTCACACTCAGGATTGGATTTGTTCAAATGTATACTTGGGTGCGTATGTGCGGTTGAGAGCCCGAGGTCGGATCAATTGAAATGATTCCCCTTGCCAGTGACGAACTAATCCGTCCATGTAATGCGACTCAATGAATCAAAACAAATTTCTTTTACACATGCACTTGATTGTTCTTATCGGAGCAATGACCGAAGAAGTTTTGCGATAATGCATTTCACATGAACATTTTCGAGTAGTTTAATTATTTTGAAAATTTGAGGACGTTCAAAAACTGAAACGAGCTGGCAGGAAACTCGATTAAATTCCGAATGGCAATGTTTTGAAATTTAATAACAATTTTAGTTAATTAAATAAAAAATATTTAAAAACTAAGGTTAACTTGGCGTCTCCTGAGAACTTTTTTATCTAATAGAAACTAATCGAAGGTCCATTAAGCAAGCTGTATTTTTTATCTATCAAAAGGAAACTATTTAGAAAATCTGTTGCAAAATATAATTGGGAGAATATCCACAAAGTGTAATTTTTTCTCATTTTTATCGCACAATTTAGTCGGAAGAGTTCGGAAAAAAAAATCGTTCGAAAATTATGGAAGACTATAAAATTGTAGCCATGTCAACAATCTCCTGGAAATTTCGAAAATTGTCTACAAAACTCTATTTGTCAAGGGTTGGTAAATCATTGCTAGACTTCTCCAACGATTCTGGAGCTTTTCAGAAATTATAGATACTATCCGGTTTATTCAGGAAGTTACGAGACCTTTAATGATCATATTCTAAAATATTCCAGCACTTTGTAAAAGTGTAAAAGTCAATGTTATTAGTGAAAAAAAAATGCAACACTAGTTGAAAATGAAATAGGAATTAACTCACTTGTAGGTAAGAAGGGGCTCAGGTAATTCACGTAGATATGACTTAAGTGCTCCAGCAATAACATGTGGATCTTTGTACTCCAATGCCGTTGGTAACGTGAGACAACATGCGTCTAAACTGAGTTTAATTCTTCGTAATTTAGATGCACCACCGGCTATTCTAAATAGACCTTCCTCCTCCATACCAAGCCTGAGAAGTGCTGATACACAGAGTTGAATTGGAAGTGCTATTTTACGATTTGTCACTCGAAGATGCTCCTCCAAGGGATGACCATACACTGGCTTCATCTCGTTGTCATCTAGACATTATTCAAATAATTGATTCCATAAAAAAAGGAAGTGAATATTAACATTCTTCCTTGTATCTGAGTGTGATTCCAGTGAAATTTGATTATCAATTTTTCACATAGGAAAGTTGATACATTTTATTGCTACTTGGAAGTCATAAAACAAAACGAGATATCGAACGATTCAAAAGAGATATTATTCCTCAGTAAATCATGGAGAATGGTTTCTCGATATGAATAAAACTTAATGACTATAATATTAATAATTCCCCCACATTATTGTTACAAATAAGAGCCAAACGACACAAATTTAGCTGTGCAACTCACTGATGTAGCTTTCTAATCCCGGAATAAGATCCTCGAGACAGAATAAGGCACTTTCGTGATAAGCTCGCTGAAGCTTGACATACTGAATTATTCTCTGAGCAAGCTCCGTCTCCCTCGACATAAGCTGGAACATCTCAGCAGCCAATTGATCACGACACTGTTCAACTTTCGTCTCAGCCTCCTCCAATTCTTCCCTCAAATTATCAATCTTAGTTGCAGCTGTACCTACATTGTAGAATAACCCCAAGGAATGTAGATAATAAAAAAATTAACACAAACAATGAATGCGTCATGAATATGTAAATAAACTTGACAACTGATGAATCACCTCCAGCACTGTGTTTACTCGCTTGATGATATCGCGTTCTTGCACTGTCCATGTCTAGTATCAAACGTGCTAAATTTCTCTTGTGTTTTATGATATTCGGTACATCAGTCTCCAAAATATGTTGAAGAGGTGCAGCGACGTACTGCTCGACTTTGGCCTCATGATCGACTGTTTCAGTGGCAAGTAAAACTTGAGCACGACCACAAACAGCTAATGTGTAACTCATCAAACCGTCGTCAGTTGCACAGTCCATCATTGTTTGTCCAAGAACATACTCTGGACATTTTTTCTAAGTATGAGCATAAAAAAATTCATTGAACAATATCATGGAACTGACGATGAATAAATTGGAGATTACTGTCGAGTAATTTGCGGATATTACCAGGCGTTTTTCCTTGAGCGATGTGTCTTGGGCTAGTGCCGCACTGGGCGGTGTACCCAGACGTTTGCTGAGTCCAGTCAGCGCATTCCTTATCAGCTCAACGTGCTTGTCCGCTGCCTGCAGATCGTCAGTGAGTACTTCTGTCTTTCCAGCCCTGCAAATCCACGGAAAACGAATCCTTCATCGTTAAAACTTTGTTCTTGGTGAATTTAGATCAATCAAGGAGGATTTGTAATGAATATAAAACTTGATAAAAATCGAGAGTGAGAGATTGAATGAGCGATTCACCTGGAGAAGGTCTGATCAGCTAGCTGTTTAACTCTGAAGAATTGTTTCTTCATGGTTGACGTTGGATTTGACACTTTGATGAATACAAAAAATATATATCTACTACCGCTGGCACAGAATAAACACGCCTTACGTTACAAAAATCAACAGTATAAAGTTTAAGTTTTAAAATTTAATGAGATTATACACTTTTCACTGCACAAAACATCGCCAGCGACGGCCCGTACATATCTAGGGCGCGTTCTTTCTCAAGCATTTGCAGTAAACCAAAGGATCCGACTTTGAGTGTCGCAGTGAATCCGTCATAATGCTTGAATCGTGATCTCATACACCTCAGGCAGATACGTACACACAGAGACTGCGGGCACGGGCATTGAGAACAGATAGCCACCACGACGATAAGCCCTCCCCAATTCTATTTATATCTGTCGGTATAATAGCTTGGTACTTACGACAATTTCAATCGATTACTGATACACACGAACACATTGTGCGAGTACTTATTCGCATTTGGCGCTAACGAGGATTTAATGCTGATTACATTTGGATGTTAAAAAAAACGATATAACGCAGGCCGAATGTCGTGTATGACGTCGTGACTTGTCTGTAAGTGTTGTCCATCGGTTTAGGCTTCTCCGGTATGTACGTGTAGTTTGCACATCCCCGCGATGAATTGTGAGGCGCTCGCGTTCTGTTGTTCGGACTCCTTAGGGCTAGTCTACAATAGAGAGATATCCGGTCACCCGGGAGAATGGAACGGCAACGGGCAAAATTGATACCCTGTCGGCTTCCACGGGTTAAAATCCCTTCGTCGATTGGGGTGGAGGCAAGTGCTTATCTTGCTTCTTGCAAGAAATTGGAGTTGTTGCAAAGGGGTGAGGGGAAATAGGAAGCAGTGTCGGAGGAAGTGTTGGCGGACAGTCACAGCCCTCTCCATCGCCTCCGAAATCAATCCCTAAGCAAACCGACCGAACCCCTTTGCAAGATTAAAAATTCTTGATAGGGGAGGGTGGGGCAAAATGGAACGCAGGGTAAAATGGAACGGTACAAAAAACGAATATAGAGCGAAATTCAGACAACTTTTTTTTTTCACCTTATGTGAGCTCAAAAATGATGATTCGGAGTTAAGTCAGTGACATCAGTCTACTTTGTAGTTATCGCTATCTTGTAATCTAAGGGAGATAGGAGAATTTTGATAAGGACCTTTTTGTAGAGAATTTCAAGGGCTATAAAAAAGGTCATTATAAAAATTTTGCTATCTTCATTGTAAAAAAGATAATTCAAGGTTACAAAACTGAAGAAAAATCTGATGTCTGTAAATTCAATTATAGAGTAATAGACGATTATAGATAAATAAATAAGAGCTTTGGAATATTATTATTGTTCTATGAATAAATTGAATATTAAAAAAAGGTCCTATAGTTTTTGAAAACCAAAATTCACTACCGTTCGATTTTGCCCCACTCTCCCCGTTTCTTGAAAATTAATAGAAATCTGGAAAGTTAAGTAAATGAATTTTTGAATTTTCAATTGATTGAAAATTGAAGAATACATTATATGATTTAGTTTACTAAAGTTAACTAATGTTTTGATTGAAAATTCAGATGAGTTGAGGAATTCGCATCTTTCTGCTCTTCAAAAATTTCGAGTTCCAATGAATTTTCATTATTTTTCCCCTGTATCGAAACCAGTTACTATTTTGAAAATATTTAGGCAACTGCTCAAGAAATGTCAGTTTTCTTTCAACTATTTAGCCTACTAAAGGAGAGGAAAATGTCACATTTTATCTCAAATCATTCGTTCCAGTGTCATACACTGAGAGAACAATCGTCATAATATGACAAAACTAATTTCTTGTGCCAAATATTTCATCTCTTGAGAAGAAATTTCTTGCGATAAGAATTTTTTGTACCGTTCCATTTTGCCCCGCCGTTCCGTTTTGCCCCACAGTTCCATTTTGCCCCACCCTCCCCTATTTAATTATCATATTCACTTTTGTACATCGCAAAGCTCAGTAATAAAATATTCACCATAATTTGATTTAATGCTCATTTTATTAACCATTATTTACATTGAACAATGATAATGAGATAATTGATTGACGAATTTGACATTCGTTCCAATGGTTTAACATTATGCATAAATAAAAAAATAGTTAATGATGAATGCATAAATTTAATCTTCCTACAGCTGAATTATTTTATTTCCAATGAAACCGAAATATCCCGAGTGAAAATTTTAGTCAGGTCTTGATCAGACACTGATCAGGTTACCTTATCAGATTTTGATCAAGTATGTAACGATATAATTGTGAATTTTCCACTAGGGTTTCACCGCCTACCATCATTAGGCATTAATTAAATTTAATTTTTTGAGAGAAAAAACTAGTAACTTCCCAGCCGGGAATCGAACCCGGGACCTCCCAATGTCGCATCGGGTGCTCTTACTTTTTTTTTTAACCATGTTTTTTATTCAGTTTTTACAAAAATTATTTACAGTATTTACATATATATACATAAAAAAAACAGGTACAGAAAAAAATCAGATTTAATTATCTGGAAGTATTTGAAATATGGTTACTTTGTAACACTCGCCTTCACTTTAGTATTTGGATTAAATTGATGATTTTAGTCTTTGTTTGTGTAAGTTTACACCTTGGATATTACTAAGGTGAATTTTTGTATTAGGCTATCTGCGCTTGAAAAGAAAAAATAAAAAATTAAAAGAGGATTCATTTGTATCGAGTAGCGTAATGAGAAAGAAAAAAAAACAAGCGCACTTCTAAATTGTTAATGAGTTTCATGTATCATCAGTTGAATTTTGGTTTCGATTCTGTGGTGAGTTCCACATTCGAAAGCCAAAATTCTCTTATTAATTGTAATATTTGTACTGTGATCATTGATAATACTGAATTACTTCATCAGTTCAATTTGAATATTCTTAGTATCAAAAGGAAAAAAAAATTATGAGCTATATATGAGAAAAAAAAAATTTATGTAGGCCTGAAGTTGTGTCTTCGGACTCTGTTTGGAGCTCTATTTTTATTTTTATTTAATTCTTTGTAAATTGAGTATCTGGCATTTAGTTCAGGAATGAATTTGTCATTTTGGTCCAGCCACCAAAATTCTTTTCTAACTCGATAAAAATCCTCCATATCAGTTTCTG